TTTCACCCACCTGACCTCTTGTGCTATAGGGATGATAAGTTAGTTTTTGCCAGCAACACTGAAATATTTGAGAGTAGGAGGGCAGCAAATGGTGAGAAAAGAGATTAGCGTACACAGAGAAAGGTTATTAGTGCCTGCTATTGTTACGGTCTATATTCAAAGCCAAAACAGTGACACTACCTCCACAAAATGTGCATGTGAGGAAGGTAAATCTTCAATTACACACTTTGCAAGGTCCTGAATATGTCCTACTACTAGTCAGTAGAGAAAGGAGAAAAAAAAAGAAAAATCAGATTATTTGTTTTTAAAGTATTTGCCTACAAAAAAATCTCCTGATTGCAAGAAAATTCAGAGGGTTTTCTTATTATTAAATATAAAAAGGACTTGAAGCCTAAAAAGGGTGAGATAGAGATACTGCCTTCTCATATTAACTTTCACACAGAAGAAACACATTATATAACTCTACTTTCAATTTAGCTTTCCTCAAAATAAAAAATAGAAGTTCAGAGAAAAGTAAAATTATATTTATTAATGAGTTCAGTAAATGATGTTACTCATATTTTTCTTTATCCCAGATAATTAAAATATCTGCATAATCTTCTTTTAAAAATGTTTTTCAGAATACAAAGCAAAATCTTTAAAAATTATTCATTATTTTTAAGTAAACAAGCTAAACTGGGTGCAATTTTTATTTTAGTGTTTTCTCTTGACATGAAAACCTTGTGCTTCACATAGCTGTGCTGTTAAAATAACTTTAGTAGGACATCAAGATAAGGGAAGAAAAATAGGTTACTAAAACTTATTCTAAGTGTGGCTTTAAAGGAATCAGTGTGAAGCAGTGAGCTAACTGCTCTCAAGTTTGAAGGCACACATCAATATAGGGAGGACAAATAAATTGCAAGTTATTCGAGTCCGTAATAAAAACTAATGAATATGACTAAAACTTCTGACATTAGGGATTCAAGTGTTTTAGTTGGTAGTGAGGATAAACTAAATTCCTGAATATTTTCAGTACTGATACAAGAGTTGTACCTAAGGGGGAAAAAATCCCTCACTGTGGTTGCAAGCACATTCAAGAATAATCTCCTGGGCACTAGTTAATCTCTAGCCATTCTCTGCTTTTCCACTGTACACTAACAAGCCTGGTTTCAGTAATACTATTTTTAAATAACTATTAATGAAATCACTAATCTGTAACTGAATACTCTAGGCTTTAAAATTGAAGAGATTCCTACTGAAATTTAAATTATTGCCAGCATACTTCATCTGTGATGAGGTTTTAATACAGAAGAATTCTTATTCTTGAATCAATGATGCTTAGAAGAGGTGAAAGTATTTCCATAACAAAATTTTGTGGATATTAGAAGTATTCCTTTTTTTGTTAAAAGTCTTTTCACTCTCCTATAATGTAAGCTCCTTGAGAGCATGGCCTTATATCTTTGTGTCACATACTCATAGCAGGCTACGTGGAATACAGTAGACTTTCTTAATATGTTCTGAGAGAACTATTGCATTAGTGAATTCACTTTGCACCTCCACATAGAGAATGGTCCTAATTTATGTACCACCCTTGGGAAAATTGAGAAGTTAGTCGCTCAAATAATTTTCTGTATTTGATAGTTTAGATGAGGGAACCTCAGTTAAGAAAGGGTGGTTAGGGCATATAGAAGTCATCCCCCAAATTGTTGAATTAACAAGTGAAACATATCACCTAATGGACTGAAAGTCTTCATTCCTAAATCCATTTTTATTTTAACTATTCCAGTCTTAAACTCCTTGAAGACAAGGACCAATCCATTCTAACTTTCATAATTCCTGTAAGGTCTAGGAAACTATGGTAAAGAGTTCAATTTAACTTACATTGTGTTTCACCAATGGATTAAAACACACACACGCGCACATTACCTAAATCATATTCCCAACCTACTGAATCAGAATCTCTGGGGGTTGGGCCTAGGAATCTTTTTAGAAAACTCTCTATAGGTAGAAGGCTAGGTATTCAGGATGAAGGGCCATTGACTTGAAATGAATTCTTGTTCTCATTTCTGATTCCTCTAAACTCAACCTGGTTTCCTCACCTCAGTCATCTCTTTTAAATCTTGCCTTTCAAATATCTACCTCTTCTGCTCTTTAAAAGTCCACATTATTTCATTTCAAAGACATGCCATCATTCTGCCCTAAAGTTGATATTTTTTAAAAATTTAGCCGTCTTCAGAATCAGTTTAGGTGTTCCTCAAGCATCCAAGATCTGTTATTTTAACTTCATTCTTAGAATGTAGAGTCTTCTAAATCTTATCATCTGGCCTTAGGTAGCCTTTCTTAAAGTTTATAATTTCTTCTGCTCCTAATACAATATCTTGGACTTATCCATCTTTCATGTTAATTGTGCAGTTTCCCTGATCTCTTTGCCATTTATTTAATTTCCTCTTAAATAGACAAAAAGTATTAACGGCTACTGAATCCACTTCTAGTTATATAAGCAAAAGAACTTAAAGAAAAACAGATACATGCACACCAGTGTTCACAGCAGCATTACTCATAATAGCTAAAAGATGGGAACGACCCAAGTGTCCACCAACAGATGGACTGATAAATTGTCATATATACATACAATGGAATATCTGTCAGTCTTAAAAAAAAAAAGGAATGAAATTCTGATACATGCTACAACATGGATGAATCTAGAAAAATGATAAGTGAAATAAGCCAGACACTGAAGGACAAAAATTGTATAATTACACTTATGTGAGGTACCTCGAATAGGCAAATTCAGAGAGACAGAAAGTAGATTAGAATTTACCAGGGGCAGGGGGAAGGTGGAACGGGGAGTTTTTGTTTAATGGATACAGAGATTGTTCGGCATGATGATGAAAAAGTTCTGGATACAGATAGTGGTGATGGCTGCATGAAATTATGAGTGTACTAATGCTGTTGAACTGTACACTAAAAATGGTTAAAATGGTAATTTTATGTTAAGTATATTTTACCAAAATAAGAAAACCACTAAAATAATTATCTTGACTTTCCTAGAGCAGATTTTTTCTTAATATTGATTAATTTTTCTGTATTATCAAAAGAAAAAAATTTTAAAAGCCCTGCCTATACTTTTCCCTATTCTTTAAATTTACCACTCTTTCTAGGTTTTTCTTACTCCCTTTTGTTTTTTGTAAAAATAAAATAAAATTTAATATAGATACTCAGCACTTTCCACACTTCAAGCACAATGATGTTGTGAATACATATACACACTGAACACTTCAAATCTGTACATACATATGTGCATGCACACATACACACTCTGTTTTACATCTCTTCCTTAGACTCTTATGAATTTCACCAAAATTCATCTGTTTCTCATGTTTAGTCTTTTGTTAAAATATAAGTGAATAAGACTACAAGATTTACAGTGCAGATAATGTTATATTGCAAGTTACTTTTAGATGCCAAGTACTCTGCAAATAATGGGAAAATATCAATTTCAAAAGTCTGCCAACACACAAGAAAAGACAGTTTAAAAAGAGGGAAAGAAACATATCAAAAAGATCTCTAAAGAACTGATATTACATAAACTATGGAAAGGCTGAGAAACGATATTCTCAAAGGAAAAAATGTAGCAGAGCAGAAATTTACTTTAATCTAAACTACAAAGAACTATAAGACAATTAAATTTATTATTTTTAGAGATGATTCTTTTAAACTTAAAAAAAATTCTTCTGGTCTTACTAACAAGAATAAAATTAATAGGAGTAATTTGGCCTCATGAAACCCTGAAAAAAATTAGGGAAAATAAATAATAAATTATATATGGAAAATTATTGAAAGATCCCACACACAAAGGATAAATGTACATAATATATAATGTGAAAAGATAACTGAACCAAAAATGATGAATGATTAAGAAAAAAAATAAATCCCTAAATAAAGATAAGAATGTGGAGTTATATAAAGAGAAAAGGACAGATGGTAAGTTTAAAAACTCAGTTTAGGAGTAAACTGGACTTGGATATTAAACAGCAAGGCATCTTCCTATTTCTAAGATATGTTTGGATAATATGTAGGCAAAATGTTTCTTGAAAATAAAATCTGATCAGGTTTAGAAGACAACAGAGGAACAATGCCAGTGATTTATTAGATGCAGAGAACCACAAAGGAGGTAATATAGGCCAATCAGCAAGTTGCAAATACAAGGAGATTAATGCAATGTCTTAAATAAATTAATGGGGTGGCCATGGGCAGCAAATAGGTAGAGGAGGCAATAGTTAAGAAAACTCACTCAGCAGCCCAACTCACTGGCACAACACAAGTGGAAACAGCAAAAGTGCTAAACAATCTGCACCTACTTACAATATTACAGGCATAGATTGGGCAGGGCAAGATCAGGCAGGCAGATGGCATAGCACTTGGTAGGCCATAGTATAGTGGAATAGGAGGAAAAGAGATAGACAATGCTGGGCAGTCTACAATGCTAAAATAGCAGATGGATATGATAATACCAGGCCATTTGCTGATGGACAAAGAACCAGCTAGTGAAGAATGCAAATCATTCAGCGGATGAGTGTAGTGAGGCAAAAAGTAGACAAAAACTGAAGGCAATCAAGCAGAAAGACAGAATAGTAGAGAAGCAATGACAGATCATCAGAAGCAGTTGGGTAGGGTAGCGACAAGCTGTCAGCAGAGGAACTAAACAGCATTCAGAAAAAGATGAGATTGAGAGTGAAGTAGTCCCCTGAATTGGGTGTCTTCCATCTAGGAAACAGTGATTGATAAACTGCGCATGAAAATCCATAAGAGAACAGCACACAAATGGAAACAGCAGATGGGTCTGAACTCTATTGCTCAAGGATACAGAATGACCCTAGAACACAGATACATAACAGTCCACAAGGAAATTAAATAAATGAGAAAAATGAGTCCAAGCATTTTCATAATGATAAAAGAAACCAAAACACTAAAAATTATTAATCTAGAAATGATTGGCTGGGATTGAAGTCTTCGCTTACCCCTTTCTGGAGCCCACAAAATGGGAATGTTGGGAATTTCTGCAGCAGAAAAACAGAAGAGAAAAGGGATTTCTGACTCCCAGTTTGAGGAAAGCAGGTCAAATTTAGAGCTGTATGAACTGGTTCAGGGAACTAAGAACCAGCCTGAACCTTCTCCCTTCCTCAGAATCAAACCATTTCTGAGGTTTGGGAAAGGTTTAGGAAGCCCTTACCCCATCATTTCCCACAACCCCCTTTCACACTTACCTCCAGTGCAAACAGTTTCCAGCAAGGAGGTACTTGAGAAAATTCAGTCCCATGTTTATACCATGGCAAAATTTGAGGATGACCAACTACTGGTACTTCCTGTAGGTCACGTTTCTGATTTAGTGGGATCCCTTCCACTCTTTGTGAGTGAACAGAGGGGACAGATTACTAGAAACTACCCACCTCTTTGAAAGTGGATGAGAAAGGAATCAGCATCATTAAAATCAATCAATCAATAATAATAATACCAGTAAATACCGTGGTGATCTCATCTACTGTCATGGATTTTAATTCCATTTATATGTTGATGACTCTAAAAACCAATATTTCTAGCCCAGACTTTTCTCTGAACCCCAGATGCATATATCTAACTGCAATTCAACATCTCCACTTGGATATCTAAACGCAGTTTAAGTTTCTGTGACCAAAGTAAAACTCCCGATATTTCCCCTCAAACCTACTCTTCCCACAGTCTTCTCCATTTCAGTAAATGGCACTCTCTCCTTCCAATTGCCCAAGTCAAATCCTGGGTCTTATACTTGACTTCTCTCTTTCTCTTATTCTATCTGTTATCTCTACCTTCAACAATCTATCCACTATCACCACCACTGGTCTAAGCCACTATCATTTTTCACCTGGATTATTTTAAACCAGCCTCCTAACTGGTTTCCCTATTAAAATATAACACAGATCATGCCATGCCTCTGCTCCATTACATTAAGTCTTCTCCATTACAAGTTATACATGATCCGTGGCTTTCACTCTCTCCTCCTTTAAGTCTTGGCTTAAATGTCACTTTATCAATGAGGCCTTGCTTGATGAGACTCTATTTAAAATTATAACCCTCTTTCCTGCCTTGACTACCTATCCTCCTCCGCTGGTTTATGTTTATCCATAGAACTTGCCATCTCTAATACTATACATTTTATTTGTTTTCTTGTATTTGTGCCCCCCACAAAAATGTAAATTCCCTAAAGGCAGGAACTTTTTGATTTCTTTGTTCATTGCTGTATCTCCAACATCTTGAACATATGTATATGTACCAGGTTATATACATATATATTTATTCATTTATTTTTACTTATGGGGCTTCTCCTTTCTTTTTCTCACCACTATACTAATGGGATGGGGTTCTCCTTTTTTGATATCAAATTTTCAAAGCATTCTTCTGAAAAGCTCACAACTATTGAGCTTTTGGATTAGCAGAACAGATGCTATTGCACTACAGAATAGGAACGTTCTAAAACAGGGGTTGGCAAACTACAGCCCATAGGCCAAATCTTGCCCACTGCCTGTTTTTCCTATGACCTACAACCTAAGAATAACCTTTACATTTTTAAATGATTCCAAAAAAAAAAAAAAAATCAAAAGAAGAACAGTATTTTGTGCACGTGAAAACTACATGAAATCCAATTTCAGTATCCATAATAAAGTTTTATTGGAGCACAGCAAAGCTCATTCAATTGATATCATCTACAGCTATTTTTATGCTAAAGGGCTAGAGGAGTTGGGTGGTTGTGACAGAAACCACATGGCCTATGAAGTATAAAATACTTACCACCTGGCCCTTTAAAGAGTAAGTTTGCTGACCCCTGTCCCAAGGTATTTTATATTTAAAAGGCAAAGGGTAATAACTAAAGTTTGAGCAAAGACAGACTAGAGTTTATCACTACTTCCGTTGCTACTGTTACCCATGATGCACCTTTGAGGGAAGGAGCATTTATACTAGGATTTGCTTTCAATATTATATAAAAGCAGCCCTTTCATTCCTCTAAATATTATTTATTACTAATGGTGAAATTCATTCATCTGTCTATCTCACAGAGCAGCCCCATCTTAAGGGACAGAGCACAGTACTGGTAAGTTTTGAAAATGGCAAAATGGGAGGGAGTAAAAGAGGAAGTAAATGGGGCCCACGAATAGAACCCATATCAAAGTATCACATAATTAACCAAACTTCTAAATACCCTGTTTAACAATAGTGGGATATTGGCATGATGTGAATTTCCTATGAACCTCACCAATGGAGTTATTATTAAAGTAACCTCATTATCATGGGATTGCCTATACAATGTAGTCTTGAATCACAGCGAGCAAAAAACACATTAAAAGACTTCATTATATTTATAAAATATTCAAAACTAACACTTACTTTCTCATTGGCTCAAATATCTACATTTTGTAGGAAAGTATTTTAAAAATTTGCAAAATTCATCTCCTAATCAAAACTGACCTATTTTTTCTTCCATAAAGTCTTACCCTGAGGATTATCATATGAAAGGATATTATGTTATTTGCTACAATCAAACTTATAGAAAGGAGTGAAAAGGCTGAGGTCAAGACACTTAAATTATCCCATTGACATCCATCACTATAATGCTATCTTCATTCTTCACAGAGCAGTATAATTTATTTCCTCTTATATCAATTAGTCATTCTGCATTGTTGCCTTTGGTCTCTTTCTCGCTCTCTCACAGTGAAACTGACAACACTTCATCTTCTAACTCCATACTTCCAAGAGTTTACACTTCTTTCTTTTCAGTATCTTTTGAAGGAAACGGACTCTTTTCTGCAAATTCTCATCTGGGTGCCATTCATGATTATCTGAAATGGTTACTCCTTCATTGGGCATTTTTCCTCTTTTTTTTTTTAACAGCAGCTGTGCTCTTTTCAAGTCCCAGTATAAAGAAATAATACTGGTAAAATTATTAGAATCATTCCAAATTTTTTATTTTGTCATCTGAATCCACTTTCTGACTTCCTATCAGTTTCCTTTTATAGCAGGTAATAACATAAAGTTATAAATATTTAGCCCTTCTAATACAATATTATTTTGAGAAGTTCACGGTAACTGACAGATATAAATCCATTTGTTGTTATCTTATATTTTGTGTGAAAAGCAACATTAAGTCCATTTTACAGACGGTTTTCCTTTTATAGCAGGTAATAACATAAAGTTATAAATATTTAGCCCTTCTAATACAATATTGTTTTGAGAAGTTCACGGTAACTGACAGATATAAATCCATTTGTTGTTATCTTATATTTTGTGTGAAAAGCAACATTAAGTCCATTTTACAGACGGTTATCTAATATATGGAGAGATGAATTCATATTCTTGATTTCAAGAAGTAATACAGAAAGGAATGTCCTGAAATCTTCATTCCTGTATGTCTCTAGATAAATCTACTTTTAGCATTTTTTTTTGGTTTGTTTTTGTCTTTTTTCGCGTCCGGCAACGGATCGCAACCCTCAGTGTCGCGCCAGTACCGGACCGGGACCGGCAACAGGATCGCAACTCTCGGTGTTGCCCCCGCACCTCGCTCAGCCAGTGAGCGGGAACCGGTCTGTATGTGGGATCCGAACCCTCGGCGGGAGTGCTGCCGCGCTCCGAAGCAGCGCACTGTAGCAGTGCGCCACCGGGCTGGCCCTACTTTTAGCATTTTATATCTGCAAAATACTGAATAGTATTTTGCTGTTAATGTCTTAGCACATATTTTGCAAAGCCTAAGTATTTGGTTATGCCATCCTCTATTCATTTTATAAGAATAGGTTTGTAAGCGTGAGTTGAAAATGTGATTTCAAGATTTTATCACTTTGATAATATTTGGTAATTAATTTGGTAAAATAAGCATTTACCATGTCTTCTACGATCTTTCTTTTTCCTTTCCCACAACTGTGCTATTGTGTACTCAGGTCTTCTGCTTGATTTTTTTCTCCAGAGAAAAATTCTTTCAATATTTATTCAACCCTTATTTACTTATTTTTTAAGCTAAAGTGCTTTCTTCTTATATTGTAGATAATAATAATAGCAAATATTTATGTAGTAAATATTGTTTTTAGTGCCTCACTTGTCACATAATATAACTACCCTATGAGGTAAGTTCTTAAGTACTCTTACTAGCTACATTTTACATATAAGAAAACTGAGGTATAGAAAGTTAAGTAAGTTGTACAAGGCCACATACTAGTAAGAAGAGGATCTGAGATTCAAACCCCAAAAGTCTATGCTCTTAACCACTATGTCATTCTGCTTCATAAATGATTATATGGGCCATACTACTTTTCTAGTTAGAACTCTAATTAGAAATAATACTTGCCATTATTTGTATCTATACTTATTTGTATGTTTACTCAAGATATGATCTGTCTTCCCAATACGGGCCCCATAAAAGCTAAAAACAAATTCTGGTTAAGAGTAGGCATGCAATTAAGACATACACAACTGAAGACATAATTTAATTTGTGGATTCTATGTATATAAAGTTTTTGTCTTTGCCTCATTCTCAAAATTCCAAAATTCTGACCTCGAGGAGCAATGTACTTTTTCCTCTTGAAAAGGAGCCTTTCAATTTGTTTTAAACGCAAAGTCACTTTTTGCCCTAATTACTTCATACATTGCTTAATGGTGGGGTTATGGTTTGAGAAATGTGTCATTAGGTGATTTCATCCTTGTGCAAACATTACAGAGTGTACTTACACAAACCTAGATGGTGTAGCCTACTACATACCTGGGCTACATGGCATACAGCCTATTGTTCTTAGGCTTCAAACTTGTATAGCATGTTTCTGTACTGAGTACTGTAGGCAATTGTGGCACAATGTTAAGTATTTGTGTATGAAAACATATCTAAACATAGAAATGGTACAGTAAAAATATGGTACTATAATCTTATGGAACCCTGTCCTATAAGTAGTCTTATTGCTGACTGAAATGTCATTATGAGAGATGACTGTACTAGCATTTCACCAGTGCCAACAAATTATTTGACCTTCACTAGATCAAAGAAAATGCGATCTATTTTTTAAAAATAAATCTTTTCATATCAAAATAAAACTCTAAAACACAGATTCTTTTCAACAATCAACAAGAAAATTCTGAAGCATAATTCATGGAACAGTTTTATTCCTAACCAAAAAGCGCTGCAGTTTTGGGTATTTATTTCATGAATAAGAGAAAATGAGGATGCAAGCATCAAATTCTTGAAGGTAAGTGAAACACAAGAAATACCATAAAAAGTTTATACTTAATGTTTATTATGTACTTACATGGCACATCTGAAGTTCCTTTCAACCATTCAAAATATATTCAAGTCAAAAAAGCAATTGACCACTGTATTAATTATAGGATCTCATTATTTAATAACTGTACCAATCCTACCAGTTAATATTCATACTTCTACTTAATATATAAGGAAACACACATTCATTGTTTCATTCATGGATTCAGCAATTAAAACACTTGCTGGTGGGCTCACAAACTAGAAGGAGAAAGAACCAGGATTCAAACTAAGTCTGCTGAACTTTCAGTTTATGTTCCCCTATATTCTGCCTGTAATTGAATCAATATTTTCTGCTCATTTTCAGGTTGCTTAGGAAAGTTTTACATTTTTCCATATTTCTTTTACTTGGTTGTCTTAAAAACAAGGGGTAGGAATAAATGATTGCTTAAAGTTACTTTTTCCACGCTAATACTATGACATTTATAGAGATTAGAATTAAAGTTTGGAGCTGTTAGGGACCTTAGCATATTTACCCCTTTATTTTCTAGATGAGACAACTGAAGTACAAAGTGGTTAAATAATTCACTCAAAGTTAAACAGCTAGTTTGTAAAGAAGTGGAACTAAGATCTCTGCTGGCTTTTTCTATCTATTGCTAATTCTATTAATCCATCCTATATTTTAGTTATTTATTTAAAAGGGCTATTAAGTGCTTATTAGACTATAATCCCATACTTGCTTTGATATTATATTGTTTGATTATCTTTTTACAATTTAGAATCAAAATTTAATAATACAGTTACACCATTTAGTTGTTGATAACTAGATGTAAAATACAATGCTCTCAGTTCTCAAATTCCTCAGTGACAGAAAATGAGGATAAGTTATTAATTTAAGTAAAAACAGCCCATCTACGGTCACCTTATTAGGAGGTAGGTAGCACAGCCAGAATTCAAAGGTTTGAATTTTCAGCCTAGCATTTTGATATTAACTTGAAGTTCCATGGTATACAAAATACTTTGTGATGTGAATTATTACCTCACAATTAAAAATAATGCTGTTTTGGGTTATGAATGAGTTCTATGGTAATTTTTTTCTACTTTTCTGATATAAAAACAAGTAGTTGTATGAAAATATCAAATCATTACACAAAAAAATAAGGATATATAAACACAAAGTATTTATCTCAAACATTTAACACAACGCCCAAACTGGAAAATTAATCTCTTCACATACGTAGTCAATTTTCTTACAAACAAAACAAAGCGCAAACATACCTCTGCAGGAGAAGGCTTCTCTTCCATTTCTACTTTTTTAGTTCATCTCACAGTATAAAAGAAATGTAAAAATTGGCCAAAGGACCATTTCCCTTTAGGACCCAGAAGCTTAATAAAGTGTATAAGGATGACCTTCTTATGTATGCAATTTTAGTTAACAATCTCCCAATACAACACTATTCCGATTGCTTTAAAAGCAAAATTATTTATGATTATAATTATAATAAAAAAAAAATGTGCCATGATTGTTACATAGAAAAATAGAAGGTATTTTACTACTTGTTTAAAAAAATGCATTTTCATATCTTAGACCAGTAGTTTTCAAAGTTTGGAAGTGTAGGATATGGAGTAGTAACATCTGTATGGCCTGGGGCCTTGTTGGAAATAAATTCTTAGGACCCACTGCAGATTTATTGAATCAGAAATTCTAGGGGTGGTACCCAGAAGTCTGTTTTAACAAGCCTTCTAATTGATTCTAATGCAGGCTACAGTTTGAAAACCACTGTACTAGCATAAGGACAGCAATTATTTAATAGATGCAAAGCAAAAGTACTTTGCTGTTAATAAAGCAGTAGATAGAATAGTGTACTGATTTGAAAATAGGAGGACATAGTTAACATTAAGTTGAAATAAAGCCAAGAAACACTTTTTTGGGAGCTAAAGAAACAATGTCATAAGTGGTAATGTAGTTTCCGTATGACTCCAAAGTAAAGCCTGAAATCCGCCCCTGTATTAGTGAACACTGTTCACTGTTCCTTCTTTCCCTAATTTTTCTTCCTGTGCAAAAGTTAAAGGTGATTTTTGTGGCATGAAGCCTAGCTATTAATTCTGTTTTTGACTTGTTAAATTCTACATTTAAGTGCAGTTCACATTTAAATTTATGGAAAATATAACCCTTTTTCATCAATAGTATAAAATTGGTATAAATATTCTATTGCAGTCATCCTACTGTACTTTGAGACAAATGACAAAAGTACTTCAAGAAAAGGGAAATCAGATCCAATTTTGTATTGACAAAGCACATCAGATCAGATGCCATGCTAACTAGTCAGAATTTTGCTATCACCTTACTCGGCAATGTGCCATGTGCCTGAAGTTCAGCTGACACTGCAAACCACCAAGCAAGCAAAGGATTGCTTTCTGGACCAGCCCTCCTCATATTGTATCATTTCTAATTTAAGTCAGAAGGAAAAAAAAAAAAAAAAAAACTAAGAAACACATACTAATTCTTCCAAAGCAAAATTTTCACATACTTCTTATGTGAACCACAAATCACTTATTTTGTCTAGCAAAATTATAAAAATGATATAAAAATAGTAAAAAAGGATTACAAATAACAAGATTAGTTTACTCCCTGAATATGTATAAAAGGCATGTACTATCTCACCTCTGGAGTGACATCTCGTGGTGCAAACCCTGTTCCTCCAGTTGTTAGTATTAAATTAAGTTCCTTTTCATCACACCAATCTATCAGTGTTTCCTGAAAGAAAAAAATAGGATTGTCACATGCAGAATGACTTGCCTGCCTGCTCAAAACATTCCCAAATCTTCAAACACTTCACATATAGTGAGAAAACACAGATTCTTTTCAACAATCAACAAGAAAATTCTGAAGCATAATTCATGGAACAGTTTTATTCCTAACCAAAAAGCGCTGCAGTTTTGGGTATTTATTTCATGAATAAGAGAAAATGAGGATGCAAGCATCAAATTCTTGAAGGTAAGTGAAACACAAGAAATACCATAAAAAGTTTATACTTAATGTTTATTATGTACTTACATGGCACATCTGAAGTTCCTTTCAACCATTCAAAATATATTCAAGTCAAAAAAGCAATTGACCACTGTATTAATTATAGGATCTCATTATTTAATAACTGTACCAATCCTACCAGTTAATATTCATACTTCTACTTAATATATAAGGAAACACACATTCATTGTTTCATTCATGGATTCAGCAATTAAAACACTTGCTGGTGGGCTCACAAACTAGAAGGAGAAAGAACCAGGATTCAAACTAAGTCTGCTGAACTTTCAGTTTATGTTCCCCTATATTCTGCCTGTAATTGAATCAATATTTTCTGCTCATTTTCAGGTTGCTTAGGAAAGTTTTACATTTTTCCATATTTCTTTTACTTGGTTGTCTTAAAAACAAGGGGTAGGAATAAATGATTGCTTAAAGTTACTTTTTCCACGCTAATACTATGACATTTATAGAGATTAGAATTAAAGTTTGGAGCTGTTAGGGACCTTAGCATATTTACCCCTTTATTTTCTAGATGAGACAACTGAAGTACAAAGTGGTTAAATAATTCACTCAAAGTTAAACAGCTAGTTTGTAAAGAAGTGGAACTAAGATCTCTGCTGGCTTTTTCTATCTATTGCTAATTCTATTAATCCATCCTATATTTTAGTTATTTATTTAAAAGGGCTATTAAGTGCTTATTAGACTATAATCCCATACTTGCTTTGATATTATATTGTTTGATTATCTTTTTACAATTTAGAATCAAAATTTAATAATACAGTTACACCATTTAGTTGTTGATAACTAGATGTAAAATACAATGCTCTCAGTTCTCAAATTCCTCAGTGACAGAAAATGAGGATAAGTTATTTAGAAGGACAAATGCAGGATCTAAACACGATTTTTTCCCCTATCTTCTCACATTATTGTTTTTTCCTGGTATCAGAGGAATCCAGAGCCCAAAGCTCCAAATGAGGATTTTTTTTTCCTGCTATAATTAATTAATGGCAACAAACTATTTTTTAAAAGACAGAAATTGTAGGCTGCTGAGAGCTTAACTGATACAGTTATAGTTTTGTTCTGAGGAAAGTTCAAAAAGAAAAAGAAAAAGAAAAAAGAAAAAAAAATCAGTTAAGTACAATCCTTCCTCTGTATCCACGACTGGTTTTAGGACCCTGTGGATACCAAAACCCATGGATGCTCAAATGATTTATATAAAATGGCATAGTACTTGCATATAACCTATGCGCATTCTCCCATATACTTTAAATCATCTCTAGATTACTTATAATACCTAATACAATATAAATGCTATGGAAATAGTTGTTATACCACACTGTTTTTTTAAATTATTTTTTATTGTTTAGTTAATTTTTATTATTTTTTCATTTATTTTCAATTTGCAGTTGGTTGAATCTGCAGACGCAGAATGTATGGATATGGAGGGCCAACTATATTATAATAAAGGTGTTTTGCGGTGACATCATAAACCAAAGTTAAATTTCAAGTGTCTGTGCTTCTATCTATTTAAAAAGTAGAAAAAGCCTAACTATTCATCATTCTAAATAGTTCATTATTATTTCTGGTATGTAATATGCATGACTGATACCACAACTCACCAGAGAGCAGATTAACTGACCTTAATCTTCTGTTGTAACCTAGAACACTTTGGATCTCTTTGTAACATTCCTAAGTCCTCTATCATGGTAGTGAAGTGCCTGTGCCACAACTCTCTCCTCTCTGACAACACTTCATTTATATCAGATCTTATAAAAAGTGATATGAAATCTAAGTTGTATCAACACAATATGTCAACACTAAAAAACATATCTATACCAAACACCAACTTTCAGTATTAATACCAAGAGGGCATTCAGACTTTTCAACTTTCAAGATGCTAATACAGATAGTCAAAATGGTCCCTTTATATTGAAGAATGCTACTGAAGAATGTTTTGCAATAGGCAATACTTCCTTATAACATAATTCACCTGTTAAAAGTAAATGTTTACGGAGTATCTACCGTGTATTAAATGTTAAGAGTTAAAAAATAAATAAAACGTGGATCCTGATTTCAAAGAGCTAATGGTCAAGTAAGGATTCTCAACCTTGGTTGCACACAAATCATTCGTGTAGTTTTAAAAAATACCTGGATCCCATCTCTGGGGTGCAGCTTGGGCACTGGGATGTTTAAAAGCTTCCCTGGTAATTCTAAAATGCAGTCAAGCAATTAAGAACTACTAGTCTAAAGAGACAATTTGTTCAGTTAGTTGAGGGTAAATTTCACAGCTAACTCAACAGGGTGGGCCCACAGAGATGTCATAAAGCTTAAAATTAGTTGGAATACTCAAATTTTTCTATTCCTAGGATGGATAATTGGTAACCCTTACTATATAGGTTTCGTTTACTTAATAATATTTGATATCTTGAGCTCAATTAAAATTGTGCTCAAGTATCTGGGACATAGTATTTTGTTGTCCAAAGCAGCTGTTTTTGTGATGTGCATTAGTTTCTCATGTTGCCAAAATTTTTAATTAGGCTTTTAGACTTTAAGACAAAATAGTGGGCTGGCTGGTTGCTCAGGTGGTTAGAGCCATGTGTTATAATACCAAGGTCAACGGTTCAGATCCTTGCACCAGCCAGCTGCCAAAAAAAAAAAAAAAAAAAAACCCACAAAATAGCAATCCTATCATTCACTCAGTTGGTTTCCAAAACATAAGGATTCTTCTTCATCCACCATATAGAGAATATCAGTATTCCAGGCCCCAAATAGTAACATGCATTTATTGATTCATTAATTCATTTATTTAACAAGAAAATATTTTAGGGCATACTTTTATTTAGGCACTTCATTAGACAACAGGAATGCAAAGATAAATAAGGCATAGTCCCTGGTCTCAAGAATTCAGTCAAGTAGAAGAGCTCTTAGTCTATAGCTGTCTAGAACCTTGTTACTAAAAGAATGATCTGAATACCAGCAGCATTGGTATCATCTGGGCGCTTGTTAGAAATACAAGATCTCGGGCCGAGCCCGTGGCGCACTCGGGAGAGTGCAGCGCTGGGAGTGCAGTAGCGTTCCCGCCGAGGGTTCGGATCCTATATAGGGATGACCGGTGCGCTCACAGCGCTCACTGGCTGAGCGTGGTGCAGCTGGTCTCAAAAGGGCGGAAAAAAAAAAAAAAAAAAAGAAATACAAGATCTCACATTCCTTCCAAGATCTCCTGCCTCAGAATCTATATTCTTAGAAAGATTTCTCAAGGTGATATATATGCACATTAAACTGGACTGAATATGCTTTCTAACCATATACCACCTCTAGATATTGAGTCATTTTTCTATCATGTTAAAAAAGCAATTTATCTTAGCTAGTTATTTATCTTAGCAACCTATTTAATTCACCTTATTTAACTTAGTAATTTATGTCAGCTTAGTTAGAAAGCAATTTATCTTACCATCTTTGTTTCTATATCTGTAAGATCCCTCTCATTCTGAGATAAACCTTAATATGTGTCTGCTCTACCAGGTAGAATGTCATTAAGGATTTTTGCATAAAACAGCTTTACGAAAGATTCCTCTGCATCTGTTGCAAAACTGAGGCTGAGGACATTGTCTGTTTTAGTAATTAATTTTCTCTTACATGGAAGGTATTTAAAAATTTACTGGCCTGAGTTTCCAGGTTAGTAAAGTACAATGAAGGCATAATTCCCCCTTCTCTTAACATCTAACAAAATGAACAAAAAAGAGTAGAGGAAAAAACCTCCACCACTGACAACCAAATAAGAAAGAAGATATAGCTTCAAGAAAATCTCAAAAGTTGGGTGGTTAAGGACAGAAATAAAAGATCTTTGAGAAGCACAATACAGCATTATGAGGCTCCTAATGCTGCTCTGGACCCCAAGGAAGTCATAATGTGATTTATAAAAATCCTAAAAATTCTCACTAATAGCTCCAAATCTAGAGAGATGCAAACTGAAAGCGACTCCTTATCTTTTTCGTCTTGTAAGCAGCTGCTATGAGAAACAGGTGCAACAAGGGGCTGACTATGATCAAGATGACGGTTCCAGGAATAAATGCAATTTGAATTGGGGAACTAATCTGAAACCTAATTACACTCCCCACATAACCATGACCTAAGCTCTTATCTAGGAAGAAAGACTGCAGTAATGGACAGTTAATAACATTTTAGAAGGAAGCACAGAGTATTCCAACAAATATTGCATATTTTATGTCTCTGGTTTCTCGCTTTTCCTATTTTTCTCTGTGCAAGTTCAAGATCTGATATAATCTGAGGTGACTTTTTCATCTATCTTCCTACATCTCTGCAATGGTTTTGAAATAAGCTCTAGTTTGAGGACTTGTTCTGTCAGTATTTTTCTGATAATCAGATAATAAACAGAAATTGAAGGTAAGGAGAACGTAGGTAGAGAGAAACATAATAGTGCTGATATCCTTATCTTTCATAGCAGGGATCCAACCAATGCTCTCTAAAGTTCAAAAAGATAGTTAAACATATGTCTATAATCTGTCAATGATTCTCCTATTTTCTTTTTTGACTTTAGAGGGTATTTAGAACATAATATCTCTTGTAATAAAAAAATTTATTTCAAAGTCAATGTCTTTCATTCAGTTATTTTTTCTTCTGTTTAAATGTAAATAAAATGCTTCTTGTAATATGTATTAACTCTAGAGAATTATCCTTGTTTTGTTTTTGCTTTTTTTTGGCAGCTGGCTGGTGTGGGGATCCAAGCCCTTGACCTTGGTGTTATAACACCATGCTCTAACTTGCTGATCTAACTGGCCAGCCCTAAAAAATAAGGAATGCTTCACAAATTTGTGTGTCATCCTTGTGCAGCGGTCATGCTAATCTATGTATTGTTCCAATTTTAGTATATGTGCTGCCGAAGTGAGCAAATTTATTTGCCTTTCACTCATTTAAACATCCACATATTCTTCTATCTACATAATATGCATAGAAAGATGTTGGAATATTGTACAACTAATGTTAATTGTTACTTCTGCATAATTAGATTTGAAGTACATTTTACTTTTTACTTTTTTGCACTGTTTGAATTTTTTATAATTTGTATGTATCATTAAAAAATAAAGGGATTTTAAACACTGAATTTTCTGGTATTCGTCCGTCATTCTGATAGCTAGTACTTTAATTCTCCTTTCCCATCATTTGGAAATGAATTTTGTACTCAATAACTATACATATCCTACTATGGTAGGTTAAATATGGCCATATATTCTTTGTAAATGCTCCTGTCAAGAGGTGAAGTCTATTTCTACAACCCTTGAAATGGGCTGGACTTCTGACTTGCTTTGACCAACAGAAGGAAACAGTAAGTCATGGTGTGTGAGTTCTGAATCTAGGTCTCCAAAGACCTCACATCTTCTGTCTTCACTCTTCTTCACTACTACTACCATGTAAGGAAGGCTAGGCTAGACAATGGAGTGACTGGAGAACACATGGATAAAAAGGCCTACCAGAACAGCCAGCACCAAGGCCCCAGATATCTGAGTAAGGCCAGCCTCAGTTGAGCTAACACATTATTTCAGCCACATGAGTGACCCCTGGTAAGACCAGAAGAAGATACACCCAGCTGAGACCAGAAAATCCACAGACTTGTAAGAAATAATAAATCATTGTTTTAAGCCACTAAGTTTTGTGTTGGTTTTTAATGCAACAATAGAACATGGATACAACTACTTTCACAGTTACCATTTTTGCATCCTTTTTCTAGCTGTTATTTCCAATTTATATTTTATTAGTTATAAGTTTATCTATCCTTTATAAACAAGCTTCAAAATAGCTCTGAAAGTAAACTTGCTATGAGTTATATTTAAATACATTAGCACAAAGTCTTAGGAATATGATTATATAATTTAATCAGTTTAAGAAACATTCAAATGCCTAGTATGTGCCAAGAATATATAAACATACATCTGTATGTATATGTATGTGTATAGTTTAAGCATGACAAATGTCCTTGATGTCAAAGAGTTCAGAAGTATGAATAAATTAAGATAGCATGGTACATAAACATATTATAGTTAGTGCTATGAAAGAGGTTATGCCCCCCTTAATAAAATTGTTTTAGAGATATTGCATGTATTTATGAATACATGTTTTCTTTATCATGATCAGAAAACTGTTGTTACACAGATTTTTAGCAAAATTTTACTCTCGCCCAAGAGTATCTCTCTGATGGTTTTCATTCTGATCATGATAAAGAAAATATACAAAAACTAACAAAATAACAATGCAAAGATTTTTTGATTTTTTTTTGATGCAATTTTTGAGAATCTTATATTAAAGAAAAATTTTCCTGAGATCCTGTTCCATCTGTCTTTTTTTTTTCCAAGTTGTTTCCTGAATTTAACTTATTTATTTTTATAGGCAGATTCTCCCATTCTTTATCCATTAGTCACATCTTATCTGTATGCATGTATTTTCGGAATTAGAAATCTCTCTCCTCCTTTGGTCCTTTGGGCTTTGTCAGTCTACCCCAAATCACTTTAAAATTAGCATTCTAAAAATATATTTTCCTAGAGCCTTTAAAAAAATAACTTTTTTCTATTGAAGATAATAGCAAATAAATATTTGTTAATGTAGCTGAAACTTTCACCAAGTTTTTAAAGAAAGTAAATGCAAACAAACATTTACTGGACTAAGGCACATAGCAAGAGATTACTAAAATGA